GGCCCTCGATGGGCATCCATCTGGCATGAGTCGGTGGCTGAGTTGTCGATGTGCATCGAATTTCAGCGTCCAAAACAGCGTCCAATCGTCCGTGATTGGTCAATAAGATCGTTTCAGAGGTGGAAATAGCCAATCAATGACGATTGCGAGGTAAGATTCGACGTCAGCCAGCCTGACGCTCGAACAATATCCAAATGCTCACTTTGCATTTTGCACCATGGCACCGACCAAGACCACGAAGACCAAGCCGCATGGCCGCACGCGCCTTGCCAGCGACGCGGCACCGCCCAAGCCGTCGCTCATTAGCACGGAGAGCCTTGCGACGGCCATTGCGCGCTGCAAGGAAGAGGTCGCCGAGATCGTCGCCGAGTGCAAGGCCAACAACCGCGTCTTCCGGGACATTGAGTTTGACATTGCCGGCAACGAGTACGACTGCCTCAGCTCGCTCACCGACCTCTGGGACTCGACGACGCCGGGTGGTGCGCTCCGCGTCCGCCAGATCTTCAAGGACCCGATCTTCTGCGACGATGGTTTTGATGCGAGCGACATCCAGCAAGGCACGACCGGCAACTGCTGGTTTCTCGCGGCGCTCGCATCGGTGTGCTGCGTACCCCGGGTCATTGAGAACATCTGTGTCGCCCGCGACGAGAAGGTCGGTGTCTACGGCTTCATCTTCTTCAAGGACGGCGAGTGGCAGCACGTCATCATCGACGACCAGCTCTACGTCACCCACACCGATTTTGATCACGCGTACGAGTCGTACGTTATCAGCGACAAGGCCAAGTACAAGGAGCTTTTGCGCACGGGGTCGCAAGCGCTCTTCTTTGGCAAGTCGTCGTCGGCCCGCGAGACGTGGTTGCCGCTGCTGGAGAAGGCGTACACCAAGCTCCACGGCGACTACAAGTCGGTCGAAGGCGGCTTTACGGGCGAAGGCATCGAAGACCTTACGGGCGGTGTCTCGACCAAGGTGCTCATGACCGACATCTTGGTACTATGACCGGTTTTGGGCCGAGGAGTTTCCCGCACCAACGTTGACACGCTCTTCTCCGCGTACATTATCAAGAAGAACTCGGGCTTGGAGTCGCGTTCCGACAACGGCTTGGTGCATCTGCACGCGTACTCGATCCTCAAGGCGGTTGAAGTCAACGGCACGCGCTTCCTCATGATCCGCAACCCGTGGGGGCAGCACGAGTGGAACGGCCGCTGGTCGGACGGCTCGAAAGAGTGGACGCCCGAGTGGATGGCAGCTCTGGATCACAAGTTTGGCGACGACGGCTGCTTCTGGATGCAGTATGAAGACTTCATCGAAGAGTTTACGGAAGTCGACCGGACCCGTCTCTATGACGCCAACTGGTTTGTCAACCAAGAGTGGATGGAGTACCGGTCGGCGTGGCCAGCCGCGTGGGACCAGCGTGTCTTCCAGTTTTCTCTCTCGACCGACGGGCCGGCCAACATTGTGCTCGCTAAGGCGGATGAGCGCTACTTCCACGGCCTCGAAGGCCCGTTCGAGTACGGGCTCCGCATGGAAGTGCACAAGGTCGGACACGGTGACGACGGCGAGAGTCGGTCGTTTGTCGGACGGTTTGTCCGCAACTACTATGGTCGCAGCATCAGCTTGGAGTTCCCGCACCTTGCGGCTGGCACGTACGACGTCGATCTTATGATTGTCCGCACGTCGACCGGCAACGACTCGGTCCAAGACGTCGTCTCGGACGTCGGAGCTGCCCGGCCGGACAAGCTGCTTCAGATCTGCCAGAATTTCAACGACAGCCGCGCCAAGGCCGTCAACCTCAACGGCACGTTCGACTTGCTCGCGTTCGCAAGCGGCACGCAGTCGACCGCGTACGAGCAGCAGATCGCGCACGTGGCCAAGGTCAACGCCAAGATGCAGGCCAAGATGCAAGCCGCCGCCGAGAAGGCCGAGAACGAAGATGGCGAAGAGGACGAGGAGGATGAAGAGGAAGAAGACGACGAGGACGACGATGGCGAAGACAAGTTGTCTGGTGCGGTCGTCATTGGTCTGCGCATCTACACCAAGGACGCGAGCGCGACGGTCGTTGCGTTCGTTGAAAACCAAGTTGAGGCAGCGGAAGACGACGAGTAAGCGTGTAAAGTAGTGTCTCTGGAATCCAGCCTGTGCGAATCCTTTGTTGCATTTTGTACATTCATCAATGCCATACTTTTGGCTGTACCCAACACAATCGCTTCCATCACAGATCAGTGAGATCACCATACTGGCGGGCGGTCCAAGTAGAAGAACCCTTTTCGCCGACGTCAAGTCGACGCCACTACCACACCCCACGTCACACCAAGGGCTTGTCACACGTCGCCTCGATGCTGAACGAACGTGAGGTCACTTCTAGTACTAGTACGTGTCATGGCGACAACGATCCTCGCATTAACAACCCACGAGGCATCTCGTCGTGTTGGTATTTAAGGACCTTGGGATAGCAAGAACGCTGAGCGGACACCGGCGGCAGGCGCTTCGCTGCTCATGTTGGCCGCTTTGAAGTAGCAGTGGCCGCCCGACCACGGGATCCACGAGAAGGCGCCGCACGAGGGTCGGCGCGCGCAGAGATCGCAGCACGCTTCGGGGCTCGTCGACGGCGCGCTGCCAATGTCGGCGCCGGGTGAAATGTCCGTGTTGTCCTTGATGGCCGAGCAGCGCGTGGCACTGACAAGACCGGAAAACGCATACAAATGCGGTGTCGCAGATCCTTTCTCGGTTTTGAGCCAGCACCTTTCCGTCTCGCGCGTCCACACAAAGGCCTTGCAGCCCGGCACAAGGGTACACCACGTGCAACAGTAGAACGGGCTCGCCTCGGCGACGTCCATGAGATCAAAGCCCGCATAGTCGAGGCCAGTTTCGTACAAGCAGGTTGGTGGTCCAGCCACCACACTTTGCACGAGCGCGGTCACTAGCAGTAGCGCCGTCGTCTTCATTGTTGCTGTCGTCAATTGAGAAATGGTCGGACGCCAGAATGGACGGCCTCGACAGGCGCCTGCAGAGACGCTCCCGAAGAGGCAGTACGTGGCACTCTGACGTGCCGACCAGTGTTGCCAACATGGTTTTAAACACGGTGGAATTCGGAGCATTAATATCGATATAAAATGTGTTCAATGTTCGCCGAAAATCAACAGTGTTTAAAACCATGTTTGCAACACTAATGCGTTCAAGTACCGGTATGGCAATGTTGTCGCGAAGGCTTGGACGATGTGTCGACTCCATACAAGACATTTTGAACGCACGTGGTGCGTAGGCACTTGGCCGTTTGAGGACGTATTGTTCCTTCGTAAAAAATATATTCTTTCAGAACGAGCATGGTGGTTCACACGCCGCCAAGGCGACCACAACCAAGTCCGTGACGGTCACCTCCTACGCAATCCAAGCCATTGCTCTCTCATTTCTCTGTAGCTCCTGTCGTGACACCGTGCCGTCGCTCGCTGCGTCGCCCACCACTCTGTGCGCTCATGATCTACGTAGCATGACGTCCTTTGCACCATTATTTCTCTTCCTCAATCAAGACCGAACTACTTGGGGCAACAACTGTGTTGGTGTCCGCCATGCCTGTGGTGGGCGAGG